CAAGGGAAATACAAGAGTTCCTTCTGAATACTTAGAGAGTCAATATAATGGCATGCACAATCACCACAGTAATGACCTGTCAAGCTGACAGTCAACATAACATATACATATATATAAATGTGTTGTGTGCATAACACACATTCACTGACAGGATGAACAATCATGAGTTTAGTTAATTTATTATATGCCCCATACCCATCCTGTGGGCAGTAGTGGAAAGGGTTACAGAGGCACATAATAATAATACAGTAATAATAATAATAATAATAATAATCTAAATGCAAGAAGGTACAATGTGTTGGTGAGATTACATAAGATTGGTATTTTTACATTCATGCAAAGCCACTAACACGCATAGTGTTTCGGGCAGATCCTTAATCAGTCCTTTTCGATCCAGGTCCTTATTAGGCAAGATGAAAAAAGGTACACTGTAGCATGGTTATATATATCAACAAATAAGTACAATATAAGTTGACAGCAATGATTACACTGGTAAGGATATATGTATTAAGTACTAATATTGGGGAAGTGGGTACTGTAGTACAAGATGAAGTTTGAGTTTGAAGCATGAGGTAGGAAACTATGAGGATGAAATTAGATACTCTTTGGTTTTACTTTTGAATAGGGAATAGGTTGGACAATTTTTTAATTCATCAGGGGGTGAGTTCCAAAGACTGGGTCCTTTTATTTCCATGGAGTGTTTGCACAGATTTAGTTTGACTTTTGGGATATCAAAGATATATTTATTTCTGGTGTTGTGCTCATGGGTTCTATTACACCTGCCAAGGAAACGTTTCAGATCAAGATTAGCATTTAGGAACAATGTTTTGTACATGTAAATAGCACATGAGAATGTGTGGAGTGAGTATGTTTAGCATGTTAAGGGGCCCAGTAATCAAAAAATATTAAAATTGTGAAAACTACTAATAAATGTTTAACAAAATTCCAACTTATTGGCTTCAGCATCATGAAAGTTTCATCCCAATATTGATTTTATTGATTTTAGACATGTTTTTAAAAAAGAACAGCTCCTATTAATTGGAACAAGCTTAATACTTTCAGCATTAAAAACAACGCTCAAAACTGATTTGAGCATTATTCAAAAAGAAGGGAAAGTTTTGTATCCTTCGACAACACAACCTGTCACTATAAATAACATTAGTTAAATATATTTAGCAGGTGAAACGCTAAAAATATTTTATTCTTGTCCTCAATTTTATGACATTATACCAGCTCTAGTATGTGAACGCTTGTCGAGGCAGTGGAGGGAAGAGTGGTCGACCAGGCACAGCTAGACATCCCAAGTCTTTTCGTAAATTTAATGTGATATTAGGCAGAGTACAGAAGCTATAGATATATCAGGTTTGTTCACATCCAGAATAATACAATATAAATGAGAGCAAGTTTCTCTTCCTAAAAAAGTTGTTTAAGGGCTTGCCCATGCCACCTCGTGGGTGGCATCATCTTCATCAATCAATCAATCTTCCTAACTGATGCACTGGGAGTGTCACTGGTGGATGGGTGAGCCTCGCTGCATGGAGAGAGGAGGCTTCCTCTCAAAACTGCTTGACACCAAACTGAAGATGAAAAAGCTCCCCTTATCACTTAACTTTCCTCCTACAAAGAACGTCGCATTTCGATCGTATGCGTTACATAAGGTCAAAAATTGTCGTACAAGAAAATGAAAGCGGCTCGCGAATGTGACGTACTGTCCCGTTTTCTGTTTTGGGTTAGGAGTGGACACTTTAAGTTGACCGTTTTCTTCACGTTGAGAAACCTTAGGAGGACGGACTGTATCACTGTCTAGCACCCAGTGAAAGAAAGATCTCAATACCACTGTCAGGCTTTCTTGCTGGAGGTAGAGAAGCTTCTTCCCAACCACTGGTTGACGCCTACTAGAGGACATAAACTACCTCTTACCACTACCTTGTTTTTCACACACTCGCTAAATTAAAATTTTGATGCCTCTTAAATGATGCACTGCTCTACTACTTTTCTTTCCCTGTGCATCGGCTTTCCTTTTTACTTCAGAAAGGCATTTTTATTGGGTTAGGAACCGTTTCAGCGCAGTCAACAAGCGGCTGTAACCTCTGAAAGATAAATCATTCCACTGGAGTCAACGCGTAGCTGGAACCTCGGAAGAGGAACCATCCCAGCCGAGTCACTGTGTGAGTGGAGCCTCGGGGGAAAAGAGCGAAGTGGTGCAGGTCTTGGCGAAGACGCGTGAAGGAGGCAGCTAGACCTATCAGCTGAGCATATCCTTGCTCTCTTGGAACCTTTTCTTGTAGCGTTCTAGGAACTCCGGTCTGTCCAGTGTAAAAAAATGGAACTCAGGAGGACGGGTGATATTGCATTGACTTCGTTGCCGTGAAATATGAATATCTGATAACTCTATCGTGCCCGCTGCATTCCTGGAAATGTTGAGAAGTCCTGGGAAATGTACTTTAAAGTTGATAATTGTGTGATATGAATTTTGTTAGGGGTTGGAACGTGGTGGCCTCGCGTTCCCAGAAGTCCACTGTTACTGTCAGAGTTTAGTTAAATTATGCGAATGTTCATTGCATGTTGAATGCTGCCAAATGACAGGAGAATATTAGGACCTGCTCCAGTTTATAGCAGTGAGTTGGAATTGGGTGTATCAACACACCATCGTGATTAAAGTTTTCTGCTAACACTGAGTTTAGATAATAATCTGTTTCATTCAAAGTTTATATTATATATTTGCGCTCTAGGTGAGATAATCAGTGTGAATATGAAATATTGTTTTATTAATGGCCAGAATTAGGATCTAAAATATAAATAATATTACAGTTTTCGAAAAATAAAAGCAACTCTTAATGAAGCTCTACTCATTTGGCAACACACTCGCAGCATTCATTTAGAAACCCAGGGACGGAGGCCTTCACAGCATTGTACACGACAGGAGTGAGCCCATTCTAGGGGTTATGTCTCCTATCCGCTGCCATCCCCCCCTACCCCTGCCAACCAGTCCTCTCTCCTTCATCCCACCCTTTCCCCTCTAACCTTTCCCTCCCCCCTACCTCGATCGTTCCCCTCTCACCAGTTTGTTCTCTCCCTAACCCTGCACCGTGGTGCTGATCGCCTGGAAACGTCTGGGATCTGTTACAGCAATGGACGAGTAATGGGAAAGATATTCGTTGAGGACTTTCCATGGCCTTAACAAAATTTGGGACGTCACTGGAAGCGATCAGAGAAATCCAGGATGAAGGGAAACGAGTTTGTAAATTCGAAGAAATGCTAGTCTTTTTGCAAGGTGTATTTAAATATATACTAGCTGAGAAACCTACGAGATAAATTTCGTGGGTCACATCGTGACACATTGGGTAATAAGGGTACATCTTAACAGACAAAATTCACTGTACACGATTGTCACTATATACGATCATTATTGTTAACGATCCTCCATATATGCGATCTCTATTGCAAGCGGCGATCCTTGCTACTGTCTTCGGGTGTTTCGTCAATCAAACCGTAACATACTTAACTCTGAATCCAGACATGGCTCAGTCAAACTGTCTTGGATCCCCTCTCATTGGTTTTCTAGAACATGATACATGGAAGCCATTTTCAATCTTGCATTAAATAAAGAAATGTGTAAGATTATCTAAGGCTATCAAAGAAAATCATAAAAAATATCAGAGAACTCTCGGATGAATTTAAAGACAGAAGAGCGCAAACGAATGCTAGCCGATGTAGGCGCAGATAATCAATGTCTAAATTAGGTGAATTAAGGCAGCGTCTGGGATGCTCTCTGACGCAGGTTCGAATCCTCGTCATGGCCCTTGTGGATTTGTTTAAATTAGGTGAACTTGGGTTACGCGGAAACCAATTCAAGTTCAAGTTCAAGTATGTTTATTGAGACAAGAAAAAATACATCTCAAAGGGATAGAGTAGCTTAGGCTATTTCTACCCCCCTCTACTTCAAGTCCCTCAAGGGGCGCACAAATTCAGTATATGTTGTGGTTTTCATAATTTTGTTTAGAGCCACACATTTATGGTTCATCCAATAAAATCAGCAGACTTCTAGATGTTACTACAGCTCGGCTTAGACTCTGTTACAAGTATCTCTGGGAATTCTCATTATCTGCTGATGTAGACCTGACCAAATGTAAACTGTCAACAAAATTATTCGCACACCCTCCGTCACTGTGTGATGGAGTGTGAAAAGATACGTGAATTCAGACACATTTCTATAACCAATGTTCCAGCAATGTGTAAATATTTAATTCAAAATGATCTGCTACCAGAAATTTTAGCCAAATATCCCCAGTTTGCTAACTGTAGATAGTAACTAAGTGATTGTAACCTATCCACCGCTGCCCACAAACAAAAAAAGACTAGGCTGAGATAATTGAAAAATATCAAGAATAATATTGGCAAGGCTGAAGCTGCTGAAAATGCAAGAATAATGGATCCTAAGTTGAGGTTACTGAACTTACAAGAATAGTAGAGGCGAGGTTGTAGTTGCTGAAAATGGAAAGAATAATGACGTGTATACGCTGAGGTTGCTGAAAAATTCAAGAAGAATAATTGGGTCTAGGCTGAGGATGTTGAAAAATGCAAGAGGAATATTGAATATATAAAAATATATTAAATGCAAAAAGGCTAGACTGAAGTCGCTGAAAATAAGAAGAATAATGTAGGCTAGGCTGAGGTTTCTACTATTAGCTAGTACATACAATGCCTAAAACCAGTAATACCACAACGTTTCGGGCAAAAATGCTTAAAAAATTAAAAAATGTGATCTATGAAATTAAATATTGTCCACAATGTTAACTCAATTATTATTGCCTTATCTCTTGGCTCATAGCCTTCATCACTCTGCTCTAGCATCTTACTGTCATTACCGCAACCCGTTCTCGCATTTGCTTATAGTCAATATTGGCTTATTTAATAAGTGCATATGTGACATACTAATTGATTGTGTAACCCGTTCCGCCGATACCGCCATGAGTGATGGCTGGCAGCGTTCGCCCCGCCACGAGTGGTGGCTGGCAGCGTTTGCCCCTCTACGAGTGGTGGCTGGCAGCGTTCGCACCTCCACGAGGTATCCCAGCAAGTCAACAAACTGAAGAACTTGCTTGTGATGGCTCTTACTTTAAGGTCGTGTTTTCCTGCTTTTCGAAATGTTGTGAGGGTAAGAGCCATTGTTATTTTGATGCGTTGTATTGTTTAGTCTCTACATGTGTCAGTCGTCAAAGAGCAAGAATGTGGTGAGTGTGGCCACATAGTCGTGCCGGTGTCAGTCTAGGGGTGAAGGGGTATGATCATTTTGGACACGAGACGATTAGATAAAGCTTGTTTTCTAATTGTTAAAACCATATGTATTATTAGTTTAGAATGTATTTGCTTAGATTAGGCTTTGTTAGGCTCTCTTTATTTAGTTAGGTGGGTTGCTAGTTGATACAAGGGCGCCATTGGAATTTGCTGTATGCTCTTTGTCAATCTAGTTCCCAGTCTAGAAACAAAATGGGAGGCAATCCTGGGGAACAATACAAACAGGAAAAAAATTAATCAGCAGCATCCAAGTGACACCCTAATACCCATGATAAGGCAGCCATTGACCAGCCACACAATGCACAGGTGGAGCATGAGCCAGCTGCCTTCCACATCCATAAGGCGCACAGGAGCCTTCAAGGACCACTGATTCCTGATACCTATCTGCGAAGATTGCTTCATTACCCTGCTCGACACGCTAAGAACAAGCTCGTAAACTCAGGAAAATATGTAAATTCCTCTTTTACTCGATAGCAGTGTTTGCACCAGGCATCGCATCCATTCGCATGGTTTAATAAAGGTGCCTTATGGCAAAACATTACCCAACAAGCAACAAATGCAACACATTTTCTGGGGACCCCAGACAGAGCAGAAGTCCAACATCTGCACAACATCAAGTTTGAACTGGGACTCTGAGGTTGAGTAAGGTTAGGTAGGTTTTAAAATCCATTGGAGAACTGTCTTGTGCACAATGTGGCATCTGTAAATAATAACCACAAACTGCCCCACACTTAAAATGGACAGTACTCCTATTGCCCAGTATATAAAAATGTAAAAAATTATTTTGTTAGACTAGGTTTGGTTTGTTAAATGGGCTGCACTTTGGGCAGTTCTTGAGCCTTATTCAGTGGTGATGTTGGTCATGGATACAGTCAAATAATTCACAATACAGTATTTCTTGCACATAGCTCATTTTCTAATTGTTTAAACTGTACTGACATATTAATTTTCTAATTGTTTAAACTGTAATGCATATATGTCCTCATGTTATTCTTGGGTGAGTTAGGTTATCCTTGCACATTGGACTTAAAATAAGCAAAAATTATGTAATTACTTATATCCATAACATATACCAAACAAATGTCTTTAAATTAGGCTTTATGTGCTTATGCCTTTTTAGGTTAAGTTATTGGTTTTGTTTAAAGGGAAATTAAAAAGGGTGATAACCTGCTAATGTTGGAACATTTTTGTTAGGTAAGAAGGGCTACAATCATTTCACAGACATGCATTATGCTCACTAGATGTTTTGTTCAAAATGTTTAATTTTCTAGGCTATATATATCTTGGTTAGTAAATCTTGAACTCCCACACCAGACTATGCTTCACACATGGGTTAGGTTACAGTATGTTAGATGAGGTCTGAAACTCTTTCTTCTTTCTTTCTTTATTATGCTTACTCTGAAACTCTGTAAGCAAACTGTCGGATATGACCATTTCTGATGGCATGTAAGTTATCTTATACTGTATAACATAGATTCCTCATTGTTGATTCAGAAATCCTGTTAGGCTCATTGAGGTTTCCCTAGGCTAATGACTTACTTTTCCAAGGGTGCAACCCAGAACATTTGGCCTAACGTCCAGTGACCTATTTATTGCTTGTTGGGAGAGCTGACACAATGTGTAAATAAATGTAATGATAAAGACCAATATGATATGATAAAGACCAATAGCCTCAAGAACCTGTACACCAGTTGATTGGCAGTTGAGAGGGGGGACCAAAGAGCCGAAGCTCAACCCTTACAAGCACAACAACTAGGTGAGTACAGTACACTCTCCTGAGTACTTTATGTATAATAAAAATTCCCATTACTTTTGATCAAATATGGGTCATTATTACTTCATTAAAATGTATCTTCAGAGTTTTGGCACAACACCAGTATGGCAGACAGAAGTGGTAGCAGTACCCCAAACTCCTTCACCTCCACTTATTCTTGGGGATGATTTCAACACTGACAGGTAAGCTCTTTGTTTTATTATACAGTTTTATTATTTTTATTTAAACTTTATTTCAGTTTTTATTATTCAAGTTTTCAGCAATTAGAATGATTTTCCTGCTGTACATTTTTTTAAATACTGTACTGTATACTTGTCCATAATGCTGTTATATATTTGAGTTAAATGTAATTAGTTCATTATAACACGTTATTTTTTCTTGTACTTTGTATAGTATTATTCTTTAGTTACATTCTCTATGTATTAAACTGTCATGTCTCGGAAATTTGTTTCTATTCATTATTATTTAACTTGGAAACGCTGCTAATTTCCATAGCATAAATTCCCCATCTCCAGATAGTTGTTATTGTTCTCTTCGGACTGAAAAATAGGTACGTTAGGTTTATTTCAGAATTACTAATATAACTCAAAATAAGAGACATTCTATAAAATTACTCTAGAATAGCTGCTGTACATGTGATACCTAAGGAGATTAACAGTCAATGGTGACATCTCGAGTTTTTTAGCTCATCAACATCTACAGACAACTTAGTGCCAAATGTAACCATATACTGTAGTCTTATCTATATTATACATGTCTCTTTTTCTATACATTAGGCAACACTTGTAGTTACATACCTGTCTCTTGAATGTTCATCCCTATCTGTATCTGGAGATTTGCAATCCAGGTGTGTTAAAAATAATGTGACAGGTATTCTAATGTTTATTGCCTATAATGCACCTTTCAGATATATACCCCGGTGTTATCCTACATTGCAAATACTGTTCATCTGCCTGAAAATGGAATGGAACAAATCAAATAAGACATCTTTCATTTGATGATGAAAAATAATTACTTATAATATTTATTCTTACAGGTATCCATTAGATACCATTTTAGTTTCATTATGTTTTGGAGTGTATTCTTAGAATATCCAGCATTTTTATGGTTTCATTGTGTGCACTGGTCCATACAATGTAGATTTTTATGGCACTGGTGTTCGGAGACAGGCAACCATCCAGACACTGATGGCTTCACCCTGTCTGTCTTCAATACCCACATTTTACTAAAAAAAAAATGTCTATTCTTATTTTTTCTTTGCTATTTTTTCATTATCTTTCCCTCCACTTCCTCAATTCCCACTTGTTTCAAACATTTTTGTTTTGAAAACTGCTTCACTATGACAGCTTATCCAGCATCCAAAGTTCGTTGATAAATGTTTAAAATCTTCGATGTATTCTTAATACTTTGTTGCATTTAAAATGTCTGGGGAAGATTTTGCATGTGGCCATCCTCTCAAGGATGGGAAAATCCCGGAGTGAACAAGACTACAAAGATATACCATAAATAGAAATTTACTAATTCAGTATGGCTTCACAATATTAATGGTAATAACATTGAGTCCCTTTGTGAAGGGATAAAGCTCACCATATATTCAGATATTGTCCAGAAATTAAAAATATTTAAAGTAAGCAATGAAACAATAATTGCATATTTGCCCATTAAATGTAACTTGGAAGTTTTTTCTCAAATTTGACACCAGGGCTATGAATTTCTTTATTGTTTAGGTTGGCCTTAGGCTGGGCTTGGGGAGTAGAAGAATTCCCAAAACCTTCCCCCAGGTATGATCTAAGTAGTGTTAATATATTGTTATTGTTTACTTAATGTTAATACCTGTATAGCAATATATATTCTTTATAAAAAAAAGCATCCATTGAATATTCTACAGTGGTACGCTTACACATGGCAATATACCTTAGGGGTAAACTTGGAGGAGGAGGGTGAGGTGGCCTGACCTGAGGTCAGCATGTTGCTAGCTTTCTAAAATGTCAAGCCCTCTTATGTACAAATTGAACTGGCTGACCATTAATGACTATTAAAACTCTTCACTCCTCCTATAGAAATAATACAGAGTCCTCAGAAGCTGGTCTCTACAAGGCAACATTGTAAGACAGAACTGTCAAAATACACTGGACAACATTGTATAATCTCTTCCCTAACACTGATGTGTTACATCAAAGCAGGTCAATGCCCTCCTTTCACTCTATACTGCTGACATGCAAATGCACACACACCTGCCTGTAACCATACAACTATACAAGCCAAGATACATCATACTATGTAAACAGCTAACCGTTACAACCTGGGTCTGTTTGCTTGTCTATATCTCTATCTCTCCTCCCTCGCCTGCTCCCCCAGTTCCGTTCCCTGTACCCTGCTCCATCCCCACTCTCGTTTCCTCTGCTCTGCTCCATCTTTCCCTCTCATTCCCTCTGCCCCTCTCATCTCCTCTCTCTTGCTCGCCCCCCCCTCCTTCTCTTCCCATTCTCCCCCAGTGGGCAAAAGATGCCCTAATAATATTGTCATTGTCATAGATGGTGAAACATTGTTATTTTTATCGAATCAATGTTTTTTTTTTTTTTACATTTAATCAACTTTATAAATGTTTAATTAAACATGTATATTATACTGTATATGCCATTATATATACTGTATATATTTTATTTTGTTTCTCATGGAACAGGAGTGCTATTGAAGTGCGTGAAGCATGGATAGAGACTCTTGATACAAGTGCACCCAGTCCTCTAGTGGGTCTCATGCATCTGCATCCTAAAGTGTTTGCTGATTATCCAAGACTAGACATCATTCATGAAAATGTAGTGTGGCAGCAAAAGTATCGCATGGTGGTAAGTTGCCCAAATTACGTGGATTACCTGGTTTGTGTCTTAACATTGCCATAGGCCTATTCTAGGCCATAGTTGCCTTTTGAGTTTAGCAAAGTTAATTCCACCTCTCTTTGCGTTGGTTGATGTAATAGTTTTGCTTACTTTGCGTTTAAGGTCTTGCAAAGGGTTCCTTGTGAGTCACTGCAATCAGAGAATCACAGAACCAAACAGTGAAACCATTATGCACTTTTGTTATTTATAACAAAAGATATAAGTGCTAGATTTGTTTTATTATGTATTACTCAGCAGTGCTATAAAGGCTCCAACTGCATATCTACTTTGTGGACACTTCTTACTACTATTCTTCTTTGAGTGTTGGACAGGTGCTTGCATCCCTTTATTACTGCATTATCCTTCAGATCCAGTTAATAGGAACTGTTCTCGTTATCAACATAACATTTTTATTTTTTAAAAATTCGTCTAAAATCAATTTCTGAAAATATTTTGATGAAAGTTTCACAACACTGAAGCCAATAAGTTGAAGAATTGTTTAACATTTTTAAGTTATTTTTACATAGTTCAAATATTTTTCGCTTCTGGGCCTCCAGTATGTGCGGTAATATGCGAGGTTTAAGGGTTAATGTACAGTACTGTATACTATACAATTTGCTTAATATTTAATACATTTTATATACCTGTATTATTGTATTCAAATTTAGTATACTTTGCCAATTTACACAAATTACCCTTTTTTAGAATTATGCACATACCAAATTACGATCAGAAGTCGCAGGAGGAGGTCGAAAACCATATCCACAAAAAGGGTCAGGGCGAGCAAGACATGGTTCTATTCGGTAAGTAAAAATTTATTTTAAAGTTATTAATATTTTTAAGAAATGAAATGGTATCTGCTGTCTTTCTTCCTCGCTTTCTGGGGGAGGGGGGAAGCCCCTTGTGGCTCCATGGAGCTACAGTGTTGTTATAGTGTCAAAAATCTAGATGCTATCAGTTGTGGAATTCTGTTAGGCCTACTGGGGACCACGAGCGCACAGAAAGTAGGGGCACTATGATAAAATTGTTAGTGAATTTTAATCATGTCTGCCACCACAGGGAAAGTACCCTCAAAATTAGTGAAACAAACAGACCACTGCTGGTTATAAGGAAATATTGAAGCCTCAAAATTATCAAAAGAACTTCCCTAACAATGTATAGAAACAATTGAAAATTCATGAAACTATCGCAAGCTTGTTAGCCTCACCTTCCCTCCCCCCTCATTTGAGGAAGGAGGGAGGCAGATTGGGTCAGCTGGCTGCTCCACCCTCAGTTCCTAATGATGGTAGCACTTGGAGCTGCAATGTGCACAGGGTTTTCTTCCCTGTGTGCTACCTAGTGCTACCCATGCACTCTTAGGATTTTCTTCCCTTGAATGTTTGGGGTTTGATTCCCTCCCTGTGGTAATCCTTGTGCCAGGTAAGTCCGTTGGTTTTTAGCTTTCAGTCTTCCCTGTGGTCGGATGCAAGTTACAGCTGGCAGGGCACACTGGTGCACAACCTAACCAAGGCACTCCAAGGTTGGCCTTCTCAGCTTCTGCTGAGCTGAGTTAGTGTACTTACACTTGTTCTACTGTACATACAACTCTGTTCCCTTTATCTTTGCATTCATAGAGACTACCCTTCTTGTTAACAGGAGGCCCTGTTTTCTTAATAGGGTTCCGATGTAGTGATCCCATTGCCTGGGTTTCCTGCAGAGCCATTCCCTGCAGACCCTGGAAAACTCCTATGGATTTGGTGGTCCAATGAATGTCCCTGCTGAGTCTGCTCTTGCCATGTGTGAGTGAGGGTTGTGCATCATCTGTGCTATGTGGGCAATGCTCTTACCTTCTGCTTCTGCCATGTTGCCTGCTGGGTCTGTGACACCTTCGACCCCCGAGTCTTGTCGGACTGTTCTTCACACGTTACTCACCTAACAAACCCTTGTGATGATCAGGGTTTTTAGGCAGCATCTGCTTTACAGTTGAGGTTTTCTGTTTTACAATGGTGTAGGTTGTGTGCCCAGTTGGATGCCCCAGAGCTGCCCCAGTTGGTGCTTAGGGATTTGGAGGTGTTGGTTAATTCAACCATGGTTCTGTCCACACCTCTTCCTTTCCCTTCCAGTGTGTTGCTCCCTCCCACTGATTTTGAAGTTCTGGAGTTGTCCTAGTTGGCATACACCCCTTGGTTTTTGCTGGAGGCTTGGTGTGGTTTCTGTCGGTCCAACGTGCTTGAGTGGCATAACGCTTCTTCCATGTTACAGCTTTTGCATTCGCTGGGTTCGTTCCCCGGTGTCCTTATACCAGTTTCTGTGTCACCAGCTTCCTCTTCGGGGGTTCGGTGCCATGGCACCTTCCTCTTCTCTTGTTCGATGTGTTCCCGGATGCTTCAGCTTCGGTTGGGGCTTTGTGACCAGTGATCACTTGTCTGGCCGGGGGTGTTGGGGCTCTCATTTCATCAGGGTAACACCACAGTGCTCGTGTTGCGTCATTGTGGCTGGCGCTGCAGCAGATTCCGCTTCCTCGGGGCTCGTTGTTCCAGCTCCTTCGAACTGGATTTCTTCGTTCCGTGGCACTTTAGGGCTGGTAGCTTTGGGTAGCCAGATTGGCCAGTCATTGCCGATTCCATCTTTGGCTTTGCCAGATATATAGGTGCCTTTAGGTGATCCTCTTCGTGTTGGTTTGGTCTCTGCATCTTCCATTGTACATGGTGCTGTTCCCCGCCTGTGAGGCATGAGGTCGATGCTTTTTGGCAAAACTGGTGTAGGTGGGGGTTCCTGTGCCTCTGTTCTCTGATCCAGCTGTTGCTTCGAGCTCTAGCTCAGCTGGAATCCTTTCGGGAAAGCATGCTTCTCTTGGTTCCTTGGTAGCAGGCCCTGCTTGCTACCAAGCAAACCCGGGTGTTTTTCTGTGGCTCCGCCTCTTGCAGTAGGTCGGGCTGGTAAGCTACCTTGCTGGTTCAACTTCCTCTTCCGCTCTACGCATCTGGTTTTCTGATGCGGGTGTATCGCCATTTATATGGTGATCCACGTGGCTTCTTTGATGGCGTCCCACCTACCGTCTTCATCTCAGCGACAGTACTGTATAGTGTTTCAAAGCTAGCTTTCCGCCATTTCCTTTCTCTCCAAAGGGTTTTGTCGGTGTCAGACAGGGTTGTTTTGCCCTTTCTCTTTTGGCTTTTCTTGGTCCAGCATCTCTTGCCAAATAATGTTGCTTCTTTTTGAGCGACATTGATGGAGCCGTTGATGCTTGCATTTGGTGTGGATGTCCCTTCCTCTCCATTCTGCAAGCTTTCTCGTGCATTTTTGTACCTCCGGCCTGCTCACGTGCCGTCTGAGCCTCCTTGGTCTTGGGACCAGGTTCTTTCCTTTCTGTTTTCTCGGTTTGTTGTGGGCCCCTTCGGTTCAGGATTGCCTTTGGAGGGCATTGGTTTTCGTTGGCTTTGGCTTCTGGGAGTCGGGTTGGGGAAATTCATGCTATTCTCTGGTGCCAGGAATTCTGTTCATTTAGTCCTGGGGGTCGTTTTGTTCATTTGCAGCCTACTGGTTCGCTTGTCCTCTGCCGGTGAATGCGCTCGGGTGGATCCAGTTTCCCTGGTTCCCTGTTCCAGGGCTCATATCTCAGGTTGTTCGCAGTATCCTTAAGACTAGTCAGTCTGCGGTCTACCCTCGTGCCCATGTTCTTGGGAAGTATGCTGCTCTTGCGGCTGTCTTTGGGAATATGCCCTGGGTCGACATTCCTTGTGCGGAAGTTTTGGAGGTCGAACAGGATCTTGACCACCGTATGTCTTGTGTACGTTCCAGGCCCCATCCGGCCTTGCATTGCTTTGGGGCGTCTCTTACGGCCATCTATTTCTTCCTCGTCTTGAGACCTGCGGTGTTGCCACCTTCCGGGTAAGTCCCAGTTTTTACTTATCTTTGGGTAGTTTGTTTCAGGAAGCCGACAGGGCTACCCACAGAAAACCAGCATTGAATGTAATGAAAAGCCATTTTCTGGGCAAGCCCCGGGAGCGTCCTGACACCCTTCCTCTCTCCGGTCAACAGTTTTTCATCATTCAAGAACTGGAGTGGTGGGCTGCCGGCTCACCAGTGCTGGCTCCCCCTTCCCTCTTAGGGGGAAGGGAGGGTAGCGCTAATGAGAGGGAGTGCTAGTTGCATGATGTGTTGCTTGTTTGTTTTCTTTATGGGGTAGTTCTTTTGCTCTTTCTTGATGTAGATAGCAATTTTCACCGGACTGTAGTTTTTGCTTCGCCTATCTTTCTGGGTGCCTTTCCCGGTCGATGGCAAAATATGACATACTTTAAATGTAAAGTGCTCATAGGCTATTACTTCTACTGTCTCTCTGAGTGGGGCCAGGTTCTGGCTCATGGTCACTGGTAGGCACAGGACTCCTGTGACTGATGACCCCAAACTAATAGAGCACTATATCAGTTCAGATACCTTCAGGAAGCCTCCTGGGCTCGCCCAGAAAATGGCATTTCATTATATTCAACCCTGGTTTTTTTCCTCAAATTCTCTACTGTATGAAATATTGCATTTTAATCATTATATTATTAGGTGGATGAATAAGGATGTCGAGAACCACAGGGCTAGACACCTAGAGGAGTACCATACAGAGAAAATGATCATGTGGCTGACTTAGAGCCTAAAAAACAATGATCAACAAACAAAGCCAAGTCTTCATATAGGAAACAACAACATAAACTGTACATACACTAATGGGTCATTCCATGTGAATTCACCAAAGGCCTCCCACTCAACCCTTTCTAAATGTAATGAAATTTTGTAATAAAGTAACCCTAGACCCCAAATGGAAAATGTGCAAAATATTAGAGCTCAATCTGCTTTGGTTCTTAAATAACAGGTCCATGTTGAATGGGCTCTCGTCCCATTAATGCGTAAATACCACAAAAATTACCAACTTTGACCCATGGTTAAATCACTACTAGTGCCCAGAGAGGTGTGAAATTTGGCATACCAAGGCAACTTCTGGTGCAGAATACAGCAGTGTAATAAAAAATGTATTTTGGGAAGCCATTCAGCTACCAATATGTGCTAATATCACTGCCAATATATCTCAAAATATTTCAATATGCATCATTCCCAATTTGGTTTTGAATGACACCATTGGATAGAGCAGATTTTTTTGTACAAGAGTAACTTCTATTTAGATTGGGATTTGAATTTCTAGTTCAGCCACAGGACTCTGAAAATGACACTTTTATATGCGAGGTGTACGTATATTGTAGGCTATTGCAGGCTGTCAAATCCAGAGCATGGCAATTTGCAGCAGGCAAATTTATCCATTATTAGTGTAATCCTTGCTTTGGTCCATGGTGGCTGAGCCACTACCAATCTAAAAGATTGGCAACCCCATCGCCTAGGGTCCCCGCCCGATAGCCAGGCAAGGCTAGCCACGGGCAGGCCTTACGGGCTCACCATAGCCCGTGCTACTTGGAACTTTGTTCCTGGTAGCGAATCTTTAACAACAACAACAACAACGAGCAGGGCCACTTTCTCGCAGGTTCCCAAGCCTGTTAGTTGTGTGTGTGACAGGTGCCCAAGTCTCATGTGGAGTCTTATCCTAGGAGTATCCTCTGCGTAGCTGCTGTGATTGGTCACAAATCTTTTCGCTTTACGTGGCATTTCTTCTTGAAGGGATTGCAGCAAGTTTTTTGCAAAAATTCAAATTTCGTCAACAGCAAAGCTTTATGATGGAGGCATACTTGAGATTCTCCACCCAAGTTCAGTTCACTTCACTTTGCTATCAGTTTTTGATCTTCTGCACTATACTGTTTTAGAAACTTCAAGCCTTTGTTGTGAGTGTAGGTTGTCAAGTGACATTCAGAAGAGTTGCGCTCATAGCTAGCAATAGCACATGGCAATAAACCAATGGAATCCTGATTCATGACGTATCCGTAATCGAATTCAATTCAAATTATTTAACTTACTGAATACAGTAATTTCAAGTTAGAGCTGTAATACATTAATAATAATATTGTTTTTTATTGTGTATTTATTGCAAGTAAATACACAAATAAGTAAACAGCAGTGTTTGACCTGCTTGCACGATACTACAAAGATGTAAAGATAAATATAGAACAGGAACGAAAAATAGCACTGATTGTGTAATAATAATTCTGAATCCCACCGAAAAATGTTCTACCCAGTGAAGCTTAAAATTTTTCCAATCAGTTTGGATATCAATTTGCTAGCATTTCTATTTTTTGATCAGTGCACAAAGAAGATGGAGAATCATAATTTGATATTTTCGATATCGCACTAAGGTATGTCATTTTCAGAGTCCTCTGGCTGAACTAGGAATTCAGATCCCAACCTAAATAAAAGTTACTCTTGTATAGAAAAATCTGCTCTATCCAATGGTGTCATTCAAAACCAAATTGGGAATGAGTCATATTGAGATATATTGGCAGTGATATTAGCATGGATTGGTAGCTGAATGGCTACCCAAACTACTTTTTTGATTACACTGATGTATTCCACACCAAAAGTTTCCCTGGTATGCCAAATTTCACACCTCTCTGGACACTAGTCGTGATTTAACAAAGAATAAAAGTTGGTAATTTTTGTGGTATTTAAGCATTAATGGGACAAGAGCCCATTCAATATGGACCTGTTATTTAAGAACCAAAGTAAATTGAGCTCTAATATTTTGCAAAGTGTCATTTGGGGTCAAGGGCTATCTTACTATAAAATTTCATGGCATTTGGAGAGAGTCGAGTTGGAGCCATGGGTGACTTTTTGGTGATTTGAGATGGAATGACCCTAATACTGTCTTGACACCTCATGCCACCTTGCACAGCAGTATCTAATCTTAACACCTAGTTGTCCCAAAGATACTAGCCACTAAATATGGAGGTTATCAATGCTGGTCATTGGCCATAGGAAGACAACGTCCAAAAAAAAGTGTCACCAAAGCATACTGACCCACAATATGCTCCTTAGTATATTAATATCATATATAATTACCTGGCTGAACACTACCTCTGGGGTGGTTGAGCATTTAGCAAGCACTGTAACAGCAGTCATAAACATATTTTAGTTAATATCTCAATAGTGTCTCCAGACTAAAATTGTCATTTCACAGATAAATGTATTCTTTTTCCATTCCAAGGATTTATCCTTGACTAATAGTGGCACTTGGAGATTTTACCCTAATGTTATTGTGATGCACAGTGGCATATTATCACATGTAATACATCAAATTACCTTTCTATTTTTTGTTTGCAGTTCTCCCTTGTGGATTGGTGGCGGCGTGGTCCATGGACCAAGAGCATTCACTACACAGTTCTACATGTTACCATTATCAAAAAGAATAATTGGCCTTACCTCTACTTTATCTGCCAAATTTGCACAGGTGATTAGTTATGTAAGATTTTATTTAGGAGTGAGTGGCCAAGTTTTTGTTAATGTTGGTCTGTATCTTTTGCACACCATCTCAATATATATAGCAAAGTAACATGGAATGGGTTTTCTTTGCATAGCTTAATCATAGTTTTGAATTTTGGATTATTAGCTTTTGGAGTACAGTATGTCCTCTTCAACTTCAGTGCAAGTGAAGTCTTTTCCCCCCTACTTAATGAAGAGTTCAATAATTACACACTGGCCTAATTGAGTGGATATCAAACTCAGCCTACCTAATGTGTTATATTATACGTAAGGGTGAAGAGTGTGTGTGTATTAGTAATGGCAAATTTCCTACTACATAAACTCTTCATTATGCAGTCACCATATAACTGATTTTTAGATGCAGAAAAACACTTCACGTGACTGTGAGCTTTATTGTAAATTATGTTTTAACATTTAAAGCTTTTAAGTCATTACAGACAAAACATTATCTTCAATTAAGCCTACACTTGGTTGTTTTCTGCTTCGTTGTCACCACTTTGCTCTCAGTTCAACAAACTTCTTTCAGGGCAACCCTTGCTCTCTTCATTGTTCAAATGCAGGGGAACAAGAGCACAGTCTTTCCAGTCTGGACAAACAAGTGCAAGAATTAGTATTTAGCTATTTAGCCATAACTACTGTCTGACAAACCTTAGTAGGCTATTAGACCAACCAACCCACTCAGATACCACTCCCTGATAGTGATGCTGGATGCCACAAGCTAGTGACTAACATTAACAACCCTTGACATTAATCTTCAGTTTGCCAAGCTGGTGCAGTTTTAAGAGGTGTTTACCTTTCAGTGAGGGGAAATTAAATTTAGTTCTTCAATATTCCACTCCCTTTCCTACCCTTTTTATTTTATATCTAGCTTCCCTAATTATATCTTTCAACGTTAAGTTCTTGTTGTAAATTTTCTTGAGGTTGTGGATGGAATTGGCTTTGACATCTTTCAATGCATGCAACTTGCCAACCACCCGTTCAGGGTATGAAAATTTCCTTAAGTCTCCGACTACTTTGCATATTTGGTTTCTACCAATGTCCACTTGTCTTGCCTCCTTTCAATTTAATAAACTACCCTTGTCCCCATTGTCTGCTCACATCAGTATCTTATGTAATATTTATATCCCCTCTTTTTAAGGTTAAAAGGTTAAGTTCCCTTAACCCTGCCATGTTCCCTGTAATTACCTAAATGTAGTTACAGGATGAGAGCTACACTTGTGGTGTCCCGTCTACCCAGCACTCTTTTGTCGTATAACGCTTTGAAACTACTGATGGTTTTGGCCTCCACCACCTTCTCACTTAACTTGTTAAAAAAAAAAAAGAATGTAGTGAGTGTGGTGAAGTACCCTGGGTTCAACCTCTGACATCCGCTGAACCTTGGGTGAAGGTAATCATCTGACCCTGGCTCCAGCACCACCATGACATTCATTGATAAATCCACAAGGGCCGTGACGAGGGTTCGAACTTATGCCCAGGATGATCCCAGACGCGCCTTAATCGACTTAGTTATGACATGGTCGACTATCGATTCTGTATGCTTCGTGAGGTGCAGGTTCTGTGCCAGTGCTGCATACTCAAGTAATGCTCTCACATGGGCAGCAGATATAGGCTTGGAAGCATTGTTGCCAACATTTTTAAATGCTGTTCTTATGTTTGCCAACTTCGCATGTGCCGCTGTCATTACCTTGTTCACGTGAGCTGCTGATGTTAATTATTGGGATTATATATACTCTTGGGCCTCATTTTTATTTTTATTTTTTTTGTAGTTGCCTTACCTTTATTCTGTAGTTTCATACAGGTCTCATATCTCCCAGTCCCATCTTCAATACATATTACATTGTATTCTAGCAGCCATTTATCTGGATTCTCTTGTGTTAGCTGCAGTTTTTTTTTTTTTTTTACATTATATACCTGAAGCAGTATATTTTTGTTTAATACTGTTTATTGACTAATTTGTTGATTGATGAATAAAATATTGGATAAAAATGTCATAAAATAACAAAAAAGAAAGTGACAGTTAGGTACCACTTTCAGCAAGTGTTGAATGTGTGAAAGACTTTGCTGAAAACTGCATATTGTAAATTAACCCTTAGGCTGCTAAGGGCCTTCCCACCAAACACACACCGAAACTACGACGTTGGTGCAACGTTCGAGCAAGTTTTAACACCTCCTAACCAGTTATAACAACCAATATAGCAAGTTGTAACAACGTTCTAATACGTCAAAAACACGTTAAGCCAAGATGTAGCAACTTTATTTCAAGTTGTTACAAGCGGAAAATAGAGACAGTTTCGGTTTGTGTTTCCAGGGTTTTGGCCTTCAACACCCACAGGCGCAACAAAAAAAAAATCCAAAAAATTCTTTCGTTTTATAAAAGTGTTCATTTGTGTTCCCTGATCTCGAGAAAAAAAAAATCGTAGGTGGCATATTTTGGCCACAATAGGGCGGGGACGTCTGGCAAAAAAAGAGGCGTTGACAGAGCAGGCGCCAGACGAGATTTGCTCCGCCCCAGCTGTCAGACGGGAATTGCAACCCATCCTCCGAATTAACAGTACGATTTAATACTAAGTGTAATAAGTACACTTTCTTACTGTCATAAACAGTGCATAAATGCACTTATGGGGCTGTTACACTTACCCAACCCCCTCCCCCGATTTAATTCCCCTCGTTTTCTGTTAATTAAAGACACTCAGAGTTTTAGGATGAAGATTTCAACTTCAATTTGCTTTACACAAGTTTTAAATATCAGGAATTTCTTTTTCAGGTTTATTAAACAATACAGTATAGATTTTATACAAAATTTTAAAATATCCTGAGTTACTTTACAATTTATTGATATATTTTAGTTTTGTTTTATTAGTTTTATAAAACTGTAATATCAATACAGCTATAGGTTAAGTACTAATTGTAATTAAGAAGCAATAAAATTATTATCTTCAAAAACTAAGACGGTTTATATCGTCTATATATGTTTTGCACGGTCTAAGGGTTAAGCAAATTGTCATTCTTTTGTTGGAGAAAGATCCAAACAAAGTTCACAAAATCTTAGGAATTGGTTTGCATAGGGAGCAGATTAAGAATGAAGAATTCCTAAATTTTATACTGCAGTTGAAGCAGTTTGATATTTAGGATGGAAAAGGACCTTGTTGCTGGAGGAAGCTGCATATACTGTACTGATTACAGGCTAAGGGTGGCACAGTAGGGGCATGTAATTACCAGTCTACATGTACATGTAGATTGGTTACTTTGTTAGCACAAGAATTATAGTGTGTTTAATTCCAAAAAGTACCGAGTTAAGGAACCAATTAAGTTTGAGTACCAAGATTCAACTGTATGGTATATAATAAAGTACTGTACTGTATGTACAGATATTCAATTTCAGATCAGGTTTTTAAATCACTTCAACATTAACAGGTCACATTTAAATTAACATTTTTAGTGATAGCATCATAATTTGAGTATTGTACTTATATTCAACAGGATGATCTCAAGATTGTTGAGAACCTAGATATGCCATCCGATGAAGTTGGGTATTTGGAAAAACTGTGTGAGGATCGCTCCTGGGGACCATCAGTTTTGTTTGTGGATGAGTATGCTTCATTATTCTTGTTTTATGTCAATTCTCAACAGTTACATTAATTTAGCAAACAGTTAGGCATCCTTGGTAGGGATCTCTCATGCTTTTAAGCTTTTTGTGTTAGTATTCTTTCAGGTTATAAAGTATGATATATCAAGTGCATTTTATCATATTATTTGAAACAAAGTATTATCCCCACTGCCATCATTATTACTACTATCACTGTTTCCCACATTCATGGGGTGAATGACACCAGTCTGAAAAAAGGGAGTAATAAAGGAAAAAAACTACTCATTCATTTATTGTATTATCCATACTTTACAGCATTACATATAAAGGAATGTTACAACACACCAGCAATTAACCTCAGCCCTTGATTTGTACAGTACTGGAGAATGTAGATATGGTGGTATGCAGGTCAGCATTTTTATTCCAAGTTTCAAGGCTGCCCAAACAAAGAACGTGTTGAGTAGGGAAAGAAGGCAAGAATGTAGCAAGTACCATGAAGCCCTAACAAAGGCTGCAATGCTGAAAATTAACTAACGTCATGAGACAAAGAAGTTAATGCAGATCCGCTAGAGGGTCTGCAATTGGGATTCTGAAAATTGTCTCGGAGAGTACTATCTCGTTGGCCTGGTCCCTGCCAGAACAATTATAAAAAATGTGACTGCCCAGCTTCACCACATACAAAACTGGGATCCACACACCCACGCACACATGCCATACAAATAAAGTACATTGAAGCAAACCCAAGCACAACCTGGGAGGTAACTAAAACTAACTGAGGAGGAAGGAAACATCAACTCATTGAAGTTTGGAAAAAGGTTAGCCCACCCAAGCTAACAAATAGGGAGGGCACTGACCTGAAACAGCATTGGGTCAGGGTGAAATGAAATAATCAGCTTCTTGACTGAGTAAGGAAAAATTCTCAGATGTCTGAAGGAAAGCCAGTGCTACCCTCCAATCAGCAGAACAGAGATGTGTGTCTGGCAGTGGCCATTTCACTCAAACCCATAACATGATCCAAGGGTGCAGCAGTCAGTAACAGCCAGTTGATGATGGATGCAGAAAACACACTAACCCAACCCATGGAGGAACACACTCAAGGTGCATGAAATCCAAAAGGTTCATCTAAGATAAACGAAAAACAAAATAGACAGGGCCAGTAAAATGGGTATTGATACTCGAGCACTCCACTGCAGAAATAGGTGCCAAAGCCAATGCCCAAATACCAACCAATGTTGATGTCAATAAGAAAGTGAGCATGAAAATGCATAGCATAAAGGTCAGCACTGCAGCTAGGAATAAAAATGTGAAGTAAATAAGGCCGAGCAAGTTACCCTGCCACAGTATGCAGAAATAAGGTATGGACCCTGTCTAATGTCCAGTTATTGCTCTCATACAACAGAAACTACAGGGGATAATACTGACTTGAAGCACCAAACATGAGCCAGCAAAGGAGCTGCTGTCTAACAGTCAGGTGATCCAGAGGATAGTATGACAACTGAAAGGACTAATGAGAAAACACATTGCACACCTGTGGGTGAAAAGGTCTGGAACACTAACAAGTGAAGGGCAGAAGAGTGGCAGCTGATGTCAAAATCTAGCAGAATACCTCTGCAAGCTACAAGCAGGGACGTAGCTTGACTTCTGGGACGAGCGTGTGTCTTGTTTTCCGACCGTCCCCCGCAGTCACTTGTCTCTCGATAGTATTATTGGCGACTCGGATACTTTTGATATCGTTCGCCTTATGCGTTTCTGTTCTCGTATTGGCATCCTTGGTGATATTTAGCGCCCTCTGATTATCCCGCACATTTGATGGTGCTACATAGTCTTCCCGGTTTGGTGCCTTCTTTTGATAATTACTTATTTTGATTTGGAGGGCATTTTGCCAATTTTTTGCTTTCTACTTTGAGAAGCTCACATGAGCTTTTTTTTTCCTTGCAGCTGGCTTATGGTCCTTTGATGCTGGCCTGGTTCCTGCTTAAGGTTTCAGATTCTTGCTGGCCATTGCCAGCTTGAACTGATGCACCAAGCTGGGTGTTATCTAGCAAAACAGTTAATGTCTATTTTCTACTGGCTGATATCTTCCCGCCCATTGAAAATGGGAAACATTGTACTGTAATGATGATGGTGATGTAATCAATTTATAGAAAGACAGTGTTTTAGTACTATTTATTTGAATAAAGTTATTGTGATTTGGAAATAATGTAAATTGCCTACTTGTTTAAAGTATTTATTAATTTTTTCACAGCACTGATTTGATGGCACGTAATATAACTATTGCTACTGATACCATACAACACGTTAACCTCATGCCAGTGTATGGTAAGTCAAATATATTTAAACATTTTGGCCCAGAATTAGCAAAATTAAAATTCTCTAGATAATTTTTTTTTTTATCCTGAATTTAATAATGTTTATGTAACAACTCGGAATAAGACATTATATTTCCTGTATCTATTTGTTATGCTTTGTTCTTTGTGGGTATCTTTCTATCTTAAAGATTGCCTTGTGTAGAATCTTCTCCAGATACTTCACATGCTCTTACAGCTTGTAGACTTTAGAAAGGACATTTGGAAGATTTGACAAACAATTCCAAATTTTAGTGTGCTTGTATTTAAAACAGATATGAACATAATGACTACCACAACACACATAGGTGTACCAGGGAAATTAAAATACAAATAAGATAGCCAAGCACAAACAAATGAATTAAGATAAAACGAAGTGTTAAAATCATTTTTATTTAAAAAAGTATTGCAAATGTGGAAAGGTGGCATTTGCCAACTTGTACTGCTGAGTGATTGTACCCAAAGGAAAGAGCATTTACGGAAAAGGTATTCCTTGTATTTCTCCCACTAGGGCACCTCTAATGCTGAGGCGAAATGGTATGCTAACTGTAACAAAGGCATATTAAAAGATCCAACAGAAGAATTAGTTAATTTAAATTAGTGGATAATTTGTTGTACCTAGTTTCAAATTATTTTGGGAAAGTACTAAGGATGTGTGTGTATCGTCATGTGTTTGCAATGCCTCCAAGAAAAGAATATTTTTGGAGGCATTGCAGACTTGCCTACTGTGCTACTTCAGTTTGTGACTCAGTTTGTCATTCTCCTTTTGAGTTTGTCATTGATTTTTACAGCTTCTTGGGATCTAATTCCATGTCGCGATTTTAGGGCTTGGAACTCAAACTTAGGTGCGTGATTATGTAATCTATATATTTTATATTTTGATTTGGTCATGAGCTGCCATTGCCCATTCTTGTTTCTGGCTGATGAGATTAGGGTAGGGAATGAAAATGATTCTTGCATCCAGGTCTCATCTGGGGTGGAGGTCCTGGTATGTGTAGTGTGTTTTATTTAGTTTCTTCTCGCCTGTGTTAGTCATGGTGACTCAGCATGTGATTAAATCTGATTCTGCATGGTGCATGTTTTTGTTGTGCTGGACAATCATTTTGTATACTAACAAGTCATTCATAGTGTCTTTGACTTTTGTCAACCCCTATTTTTTGCAGGTGCAGGTTTGCTTTCACCCTCAGATGTGTTCTTTCTGCCAGATTTTTGTACCAGTCCTACACAAGCCTCAACCTTTGTCTCGGTGATTGGTTTATATGGCTGCCTTCAGGCTGAGAGGCTCATACTCTGAAGTTTGTGTTTGCAGTCCCAATTCTTGGCTTCTGAGGATTCCATACTGCCTATCTTCCACAAGGAGAATGTAATGTTTTGATCCTGACAAATTGCTAGTTACACATTCATGATCCAAAATGTGCTGCTAGTTACCTGTTGCTATTTACCTCAACTTCTGGAGGTGCTCATATTCCTAGCCTCTTCCCCTCTGGCTGTAAAGCTTGAACTATCTTGACCCTTACTTTTGCAATTACCTGCTAGAGGTGATTTGGTGGAAGAGATTTTGATAACTATGTTCAAGAAGGGTGATACGAATTGCCAAAGTTCCTCCTATATCAGTCAGCTCCATACACGGGCTGTGATCTGAGAGTGGGATCACATTCCTAGACTGCTCCTTGACCAGCTGTCTGTTCTCTAGTGGAATAGGTTGTTCCCCCATTTCTGATTTGGACAGAACAAGAAATTGACTTCTCCTTCCTTTGAATATATAGTATGAGACTTTTAAGGTGTTTGCATAGAACCACAAGCTTTCTCTTTACTTGACTTCATTTGCCAATCAGGATGCCTCTGTGCTGGATGCTTTTCATCTCAACTGGAACCAGTGGGAGAGGATATATTTGTTTACTCTGGTACAGATGGCAATTTTGTTGAGGTTCAAGAATTTTCAGAGCCGCTTGATTTTGCTAACACCTGAATGGCTGGTAAATCCCTGGCTCCCATCTCTATTCTACCATTGCCCAAATTTTTCCCTATTGCGGTCTTTTTCTTCATTAAGTTAATTGGTTGTTGCAAACACTTTGAGTCTTCACTTATTGTGGCATGATTAGTTTCTTGGCGGGATCTCCCACCATTTCTATTGTAAGCAGGTGGCAGAGATCCTTATTTAGCATCTGTGCTTTGTCCCATCAGTACAAGGAGAACTGGAAATGCTTAAATAGATTCTAACACTCCATTATTTGTCTGGTATCTGTTTCTCTACTGATGTTGTTCTTGACTTGACTGATCATCGAGTGGCATTTCATGTCTAACACCAATGATTCTTATTGGGTGGTTCAGGCAGTGCCTTTCTTCTGAACTTTGCTAGAGCATTTTTCCACATCTGCTCTTCTCGTGCTCTGTTGCAGCCTACTTGATCACTTAATGTTGTGTTGGATTTCCTGTGTTCTTAGTGTTTAGCTGCTGTTTGTGGGCCTAACACTAAAATCTGTTGGGAAGGGGGGAGGCATTGGCTACTTATAACCTCATTTGTGAACTGCTCTCCTTTGCAGCTCTGATTTTATTTCATTAGGCCTGGGGGATGCTTTTGTTGTTTCTTGCCAGAGTACTTCATTCTGGGCTAAGAATAAGATGTCATCTTTTAAGTGATCATATTTTAGGGCAGGTTTGATTGGTTTGTTATTCTATTAATAGCATACAATCACTAAAAAATTTCAGTCATGCATCGATGGCATCCATCAGCCCTCACTGACAGTCTCTGGCCATAATAGTACTATTTCATCCTAAATAACATGAAAGGTGGCAGAAATTCGATGCTTATTAGCACTCTGGCGGTCTGGCCTCTCTGCACATTCCCATCCATAAATGTTCTGTGATCCCTGGGTAGCTCAGTGTTGCAAATTTTTTTGGTGATCATTTAACATTTTCTCAGTTATTCGTTATATTAGAATTATAAATTTGGTGTCAAAATGTTTGCAAATGAATTTTCTATAACATTTATTTATAATAGATTATGTGCAACAGTGATCTATATATGAATGCTTATGAATAGCAATCGGATGATGAATTTTAGCATCATGGAAGTGTGAAAATGTTAACACAAAAATCATAAAAAACATTTGTTGTGTATATTCAATTTTAGCCCAATACTACAGGAAGGGATCCCTCAGTGGCTCCCTGTTCTTTCAAGCTGGTTCAGCTTTGGTTTCTGGCTCTTCTGTGTCTGGAGTTCAAACCTGGGCATTTCCCTCTGCTCAGGACCCATGCTTTAAAGAGTACAGTATCATACCATTTATCCCAACAGCTATACTGTGGATGTGAATAACAGGAGAGTAAAATCATTCCCATGATGTATTTCATAATGAAGACCTGGTACTCCACACGTCTTTTCTGTAGCATCTTTTAACTATCAACAAGTTATTGTGTGTGCAAAAACTCCAGTTGAAAGACCATGTAGAATATAATTCATGGTGCACTAAACTTCCTATATGAAATGAGTTCATGCAGCACCCTTTTGAGGTGTGAAGTCCTGAGACACTGGGAATGTATTTAGAAAATATATTTAACTTTTGCAACTCTTAGTGCTTGTATAATAAAGTCAGTTATGGAACTTACTGATTACATCTTGTAGGTCATTTGTTTCTCCAAAATGTACATAAATTGGGTGTTTATTGGGAAACTGTACTTTGTATTTAATGGAAAGCTTATTTGTAACATTTTAAATGTTAACACTGTATTTTGATGTTTAAAAATGTGTTAAAAGTTATTTTAATTAATCAAATGCATAGAGAGATTCTGCATTATACTTGTCAAAAACTTCAAGTGCAAACCCTATAAGCAGGAAGAGAGTCATGATCTCACACTACATGCTTGATTGCCCATTTATTATACCCTTCAGACCTGCCAGTATGAGGCACCTGGAGCTTTGCAATCACTTTATGAACTCTGGTGTTCTTGAGGACATCACCACAATGCAAACAAAGTTTGGAGTACTGATCACATTGCTCTATGACTGACTATCTTGTAAGATGGGAATTTGATTTTCATCATGTAGCTACTCTTGACACACTGTGTAACCCTTCATATGGTCTAGGGTAGCTGTGTAAATGCAGGTACAATGTATACCTAAATTGATGATTCAAAAGAAAAAGTCAATTACTACAATTTCAATACAATCATTTCTGACCTATTAATCATTTTCATTAGGTGTGTAACAACTGCCAGGAAAGGATAAGTTTATTAAAAATAATTTTTAAAGTTCTGTAGATGAAAGTAAAGAAATCCTTGTTTTTTCTTTTTCAGGACTGAATGTATACAGCATGCTAAAACATGATACATTAGTTCTTACTGTCGCTGCTGCTCGACGTATTGAAGAAAGAATATTACACCACCTGAACAGCCCAAAAGCCCACGAGAAGAACTGTGCTAAATTCAGAATGTCATAATAATAAGGCATTTTTGTTCAGTGGGTATGTGTGTTTGATACAAAATGATATATGCATTATTTTCTATAAGCTTCACAACAAAATTAAGTAAAAAATATTGAATTTCTTTAGCTGGCTTTATGATAAATAATTTTCTTCCACCATCGAATTACTTACCAAAGACAAATAAACTTGCATGTGGAGGAGCAATAAGTAATTTATTCGGCAGTTAGTGACAAAACATTAACAAACTGACACTGTGGAATTATAAATCTTCTCTGCACTTTATATTATATCAATACTCTGTAGTAAATATTTGTTGTCAAAATACAGTACTGTATATCTATTAGTTTTTATTGCTCCCTACCATTGGATACCTTATTATTGATACCCACTTTCACAAATTTTTATAGTAAAGTATTTATCTAAATGAGATTTAAAAATTTCAATGCATGAAAGTTCTATACTGTATAATAATACAAATGCCATCAACTTATAATGTAATTAATCACATTATGCAAAATGATTGTGTAGAATGTTGTACATAAAATAATTTACTAAAATTTATCATGCTAAAAAAATAAAGCGACTATGATATTAATGGTCATTTTTTTCTATAGCATAATCCTCCAGCATAATCTCCATGCATGCTATTATATGTTTTATCTGTTTTTTCACTGGTCAATTTAATTGTTTTTGTGTAAAGCAATTAGGTGGCATCACTGCACACCGACACAGTACACACGATTAGCACAGCAGAACTGGTGAACTCAGTGGCGTCTGTGACTGTGCAACACTGAGAGTTTTGAGTAATGGCTTACAGTAAGTGTTTATTTATAAACTGGTAATAGTGCTTTGTTGTCATAGTTCATTGTACTGGATAATTAGTAACATAATTAAAGTCTAACCCTTTTACAAAAATGCCAAAAGTTAAGCAGTACGATAAAAAATTCAGTTGGGTGGTTGCAAGACCAACTTCTCGGGATTGTATGAGGTTGTTCCAGGTGATGATACAAGACCACACTAAGTACAGTACTGCTAAACTGAGGTAAAAGGAAAATATCAAGACTTGAAAAATAACACTCAGTGTAAGAAACATTAATGCAAGTCTTTTTCAAGAACTATACACTTCTTACATCAATGTTTACACCTGCTAAACATAAATCATCAAAGCTCGAAGAAGCAATTGCTTTGTATTTATGATGTCACTCTGCCCTAAGGAACTGTGATCATCTAGTTGATCTGTGCAAGAACAAAATTGTTGACTAAAATTGTGTTAAGAGTTGAAGATGCATCGCATAGAGTGCAGTAAAATAATAAATATCGTTTTGTGTAGCCATTTTGAGCAGTTGATTAAATATATGTAATAATAGTTGTTTGATGAATCTAAAGACATTCCAGTTAAGAGGTTATTAAGAGTGTCCATTATTTACTCTAGTCAAATTTATTATAAAGTTGTGTTAACACAACTTTGACTGGTTCTGCTTGAAAAATGTGATGCTGAGAGTACTGTATTCTAGAAGGAATTAAATTATTATTAAATAGAAAGTTGGACTTTAAGAACTTTGTTGGAATAGGAACAGCTAATGTGTGTGTATTGATTGAAATTAATAATGGAGTTTATGCAAGACTAAAAGGGGAAGTTAAATAATTCATTTTAATAATATGTGCACTGTATCCCCTCCATACAATTTGCAGTTTCTAACCCATCTTGAATGCCTACCTAGAAATGCAGAAGTCCATAAATGGTTCTCTCACTCCTGTTAGACAAGTTGAATATAAAAAGTTGTACGAATCTCTCAATGATGACAAGTTCACTAAAAATACGTGCTGACTGTAAAACAAGGTGGCTGTCTATTCAACTAGCAGCAGGTTGAATAACTGAACAATGCACAAAACTGAAGGCTCATTTTAAGAAAATGAGGTGGTACACAGATGAAATTCATTTTGACATTTATTCCGATTAAAAAAATATTGTATTTCTGCTCTACGAAACCAATACTGAGTGAAGTACAAAGAGTTAACAAACTATTTGAGTCCAAAAACATTAAGGTAAAGATGCTTTATTTCCTTCTGCTTGTTAGATCAATTGGAAAGAAGGTTGTGCTTCCTACCTGCAATGTTGAACTGCTGACTTGCAATATTAATGAATATTTTAACCCAAAGTCATACCTGGGCTACCGATTTGAAACAAAAGTTGAATAATTAAGAACCAATAAACTTGTTACAACAAATTAAGAATATATTTTGAGACACGAATGTCAAATTTTCTCATAACTGTTTCAACAGTAGAAGCAGAGGCTGCCTGATAATATACAAGTTTTGACAAACATGTATCTCTCTTCTTAGCAAATAATATGTTGCAGCCATGTAAAGACATATCTTCAATTTGAGAAGTCATGAAGTGCCTAGGTGCTTCACAAGAAACGATTGGTAAGGCTGAAAACCAGTTAGCTAAAATAAATTTAGTTGATTGGAATAATAATACCGATACCGATACTTCTGAAAGGTAGTTCTTCCATTCAAAGATGCGGCCAGTTCAAATCCATTTGAAGAAATTAATAAATGTGCAATCTCTTCATTAATATTATCGTATTCAAATGCCGAAATAGAATGAGTATTCAACTTGAACTACATAAAATCCATACTGACAAATAATATGAAACTAGAAGTGCTAAGTGCTATTTTGATGGTCAAATTCAGTTTATCCAGATTAGAAAAATGTTGCAATTCTTACGAACTTCCATCCAAGGTGTTGAACGACATGACATCGCTGCATACAAAAAAAATCTTGAAGTCTCTTCTCACCCAGGCCTGTCTAGTGCTGAAGATGAAATTTGCCCGAAACGCTATGCGTATTTAGTTACGCTAGGCTTTTGGTATTGTATGTACTAGCTCTATCTTTAAATCCAACATTATGTTTGTAACTCATCTTCAATGTATGTACCTTTACCTGAATCAAAAATCTAAATCTAAGTAGCCGAGGATGGTTTTTTGCTTTGCTTAATGTAGAAATATTAAAGTAAGTAGCATTATTAGTCTTTATTATTTCATTAAATTTCAGTGTTATTAGCGCTACATAGCCTTCCCGGCTTGGGGCCTTCTTTTGATAATTACTTACATGTGTTATTATTTACATTTTCATAAACTGTGCTGGAGGATTAGTAATATCAAATATATATGTTCAGATTATTTGTATATGAATATCCGCCAAATCTAGATCTTTCTAGATGTTTTCATGACATTTCTGGATGTAAAATATAAATTTGAGTTGACAACCCTGGTAAACAGCCAGTGCGAGGAAACGCTCCGACACATTCTGTGCGAACTGGTTTACTTCAGTGAAGCTTTCACCCTCTGATGGTTTGCTGTCTGCGCCAGCGGTACCCAGGTAAGCTATGAGATGGTTTGATCTGTGCATGGACCAATGTACATTTTATCGTCAGCTCCTCTGCCAACCGCGGTAGTGTTAAACCGACGGAACCCGAGTAAGCAGTAGAAAAGTTTGTTTTTCTGTCCAGAGAACCGCCCTTGTGTTATCCTGTCCAGGTCTGAAAGACGCCAGTGTTGGGCCTGAAGAATTAAACAGGTGCCACTGTACCGTCCGGACATGGTTCAAGTAAGTAATTATCAAAAGAAGGCGCCAAGCCGTGGAGACTATATAGCACCAGGGCGTGTTCAAATGGAACCATCTGGGAGCATCGGCGTGCCTCTGTTGACAAAGTGAGGAGGCGAATACACTTGTCTCTTTCACGCTGTTTCCCCCCCCCCCCCTCATCCCTGATAGATCCCTTTCCGGACGGTTTTCTGGTCTACGTTCCTTGGTCTGGATCTGCACTCACCTAGTTGTGCTTGCGGGGGTTGAGCTTCGGCTCTTTGGTCCCGCCTCTCAACTGTCAATGAACAGGTGTACAGATTCCTGAGCCTACTGGGCTCTCTCTATCTTATCTGCATTTGAAACTGTGTATGGAGTCAGCCTCCACTACATCACTGTCTAAATGTATTTCATCTTAACTACTCTGACTGTGTTTGAACCCCTGGTGTCGCCAACGAGAATGGCGTGTTTACCTGCATGTTTGTGTTGGAGAGCGCTTAGGGATGATTACTGTGTTTGCAAGGAACCCTAAGTGGAGGAAGCACAAACCGACCAAGGAGATCTCTGCTGCATGGTGCCACTTCTGGGCGGATAGACAGGTTGGATCGGTCCTCCATGCCCGCCCATGGCGTTGTGATGGAAAGGAAGTTGGTGAAATAGAAGGTAGGCGAGCTCGTTCTATTTCTTGGGACCCCCAACCTATGAGTGTCTGGTTTCTCAGGACAAACACTGGCAGAATGAGGATCTGCTATTGTTGTTTCAGATTTAGCTACTCAGAACGAAGTGCCTTGCCTTGTGTACCTGCATTATTTGCACTTTTTTGCTGTTTCTGCAAATGTCGGACATTAATAACAGGCTGCGACTATTTGTGAGTTTCTATTCAGTAGTTACATATTGCATAATTACAGATTCCCCCGAATCTGTAATTATTATATCTTCAAATATTATATAAAATATATATCATCACCTTCAAATATGCATATAAATAACTAATTCACCCGTGTAGATTTTTTTTACATAGGCTACTAAATCTATTCAGTCTTGAACAAGTTTGGGTTATAATATATGTTATATGAACCCTTACCATGAGACCCTGAGGTGCTTCCGGGGCTTAGCGTCCCAGCGGCCCGGTCGTCGACCAGGCCTCCACGTTGCTGGACTGATCAACCAGGCTGTTAGACGCGGCTGCTCGCAGCCTGACGTATGAATCACAGCCTGGTTGATCAGGTATCCTTTGGAGGTGCTTATCCAGTTCTCTCTTGAACACTGTGAGGTGTCGGCCAGTTATGCCCCTTATGTGTACTGGAAGCGTGTTGAACAATCTCGGGCCTCTGATGTTGATAGAGTTCTCTCTCAGAGTACCTATTGCACCTCTGCTCTTCAACGGGGGTATTCTGCACATCCTGCCATGCCTTCTGGTCTCATGTGGTGTTATTTCTGTGTGCAGGTTTGGGACCAGCCCCCTCTATTATTTTCCATGTGTGGGTTGCTGGGTTTTGTATGATTCTTGTAGCTTGAGTTCAATTGTTTCTATGGAAACATGGAAAAGGCGGGGCTTAATAAATCATAAAGTAACTGTCACAATATGTTATATTGAATATATAATACATAAGATTCAGTTTGTAATTGTATGTTTACAAAAAAATAGCTCTGAGAAGATGGGTTTTGATTACTGTATCAACGCCTTGCCAAAGGCCAGAATCACACCATAATAAATTCAGCATAAGGTAAGAACAGCGTCTGGTCTAGAACCAAAAATCTACCATAATAATGATTTAAAATAAGTGCTTATGATCTGGTCGTTCAGACGACCCTTAGTTTGAGGCAATGTGCCTTCTGGCGGCGTTTTATTTAGTTTTGTCCTTCTAATCTTAGGTGAACAATTTGGCTAATATTTTGCTTAAGCTTCCATTTTATTTTAATTATCGACTTTGAAATGTGTAATTATGGAAAATATTTTTTGAACAAATTACAGAATATTTACTTTTAATAGAAGGGCCAATTAA